TTACTTATAAACCTGCAAAATTATTTCTACTATGCCTACGCCAAAACATGCAAAAATACATCTTGAGAAATGACAAGAGAGGAAAATATCACTTTTGGGACATTTATTTAACAGCAATCGTCATAAGTGGATGCTTTTTTTTTTTCAAACAACAATCAGGTGATGCCAACAGGCCAAGTTACAGGTCAGATCTGTGGAGAGGTGAGCCCCCTCACAGTAAGAATGCACGTTTGTTAAGGTATTTGTTTGCAATAAAAACAGTTCTAATTGAATAAATGCAAGATACGTTTTATACCTTACTGTGGATCATTCCTGCAAAGAAAGAACATCTTCATGAAACAAGCAGGTGGCAGACCCTCTACCAGAAAAAGTTACATAGTGCACCATTAAGACTGTTAAACAAAAATTACATATTGTGCCTTAAGTGCTCTCAAAACTAAGCATCCATAACCTAATCAATGGACCAAACTTCAAGAACAGTGCTGAATAATGGAACAAATAGTGGTGCTTGAATTTAGTTGAATTTCAGGAAACATCTTAATCAACTCCAAATAGTCTTGGATCAAAATGTCAAGATATGCTATCTAGCACATTGTGGATTTAACAAAGCAAAAACACTACCTCTTCTCAAACAAACAGCGAGAGTCCACAGAAAGAGTCCATATTTAGGCTTAACGCCACTCGTGATCGGAGAGTTCCTGTATCAGGGTGAGGACTCGTGGGTTCATGTTGAGACGACGCTTGGAGTTTTAATTCTCTACTTTGGTTCCTTTTACTGGGTTTATCGAGAAAAAACACCTGTAGAATAAAAGCATATTAAAGCATATTAAGCATTTTCTTCTTGTAATTCCTTGCACAAAATCAAAGTCTTTTGCACTGGGAAAACTGCTTGTCTGACTGTTAGTAGTCCTTCCATCATTACTTTGATAGTTTGGCATCCTGATGGCTTGGCGAATGAAGCTGTCTCTCAGTCTGCTGGTTCTCGCACGGAGGCTCCTCATTCGCCTGATGACAGGCAGAGAACAAATGTGACTCTTAAATGCAGTCACAGATTTTAGCGACTGCTTCATCTGATAGGCTCATATAATTTTTTAATAAAGAACTTACTTTAGTTATTGTGTAGGCTTGACGTAACTCGTGCAAATTTTGCATTTCCTCAACAACAGTCTGTAAAGTAGAGGCAGGAATAAGCAGCTGTCCTTACAGTTTAAGGTAAAAGAGATACATGTTTCTGAGATAAGACTGACTATCATTCTCTGGCATATCACTGCCTGCACTAGCTGTTGGCATGGCTTCATGTGTGTTTTCTGAATCATCTGTACTGGCAATGGCATCTGGGGGCTGAGGATGAGTTTCCCTGTACACATCATCAATACTTTCAGGGGAGCATGCTTTATGCTTCCTAAACATGTGAGAAGTAAATGATGACATTTTTGTAAACATGTGCTTTCAACCACTTACTGACACAACACAGACCTGCCCTCTCCAATATGATCATTTAAGTGAGACACTAGCTCTTTCACTGTGTGAAAATGGCGAGCACATAATGAAACTGCACATTTTAAATCCCCAACAACAGCTATAGCAGCTTGCAGTACAGGTGCATTGTGCACACAATAAAAATAGCTAGCAGCTACTGGTCTTAAATATCAACTGATCTCGAAAAAAAGTAGGCTAAATGTGAAGCTTACCATCCAAACTTTTAATTTTCCGATTGAACAGCAACAGACCCTCCACAAAACTTGTGTTAAAATCGTAGATTTGTCCTAAAAACGTTTAAAATGATTTAGTCGTCCGAAGATTTCTGCTCCACTCCTGTGTTCTCTCCAGCAAGCGCCGCACTCTGGCTTGTTCGTTAATGACGTCACCCACAGCCGTGAACGTGTTTCTCCCGCTCCTCCTGCCCTCATGTCATCAGAGACGAGCTTCAGCTGCGCACTTTGAAATTCAAAATTGGACTCAGTGTACAATGAGAGAGAAGTACAAGTCTGTGGTTAGAGGAGGCACTGTTAGTAGGTTGTTTAGCCTGTGGTAATGACACAATGCTCAAATCATTAATATTATTTTATCAATATAAACCAGTAGGCTACATTAAATTTTAAAGACTAAAAGAAACATAAGCCATACAAGGATTAGGACTGAACAGAAGTATTAAGCCTACTTCTTATTAATAGTTTTAATTTATTTTAGCCTACACTCTACGAAATACTCACCTGGTCATGTTGGTGCTAATTGTATTCAGTCAGTTCCCACTCAGGATACAAACCCAACTCAGGTTCATCACAGGTTGGGAAACTAGATAGCTCCTCTATGGCGGAGGACAATATGGAGCTAAATGGGTTTCCCTCCAGTGATAATGGTATTCAGTCAGTGTTTTCTACTGCTTGTGAGTAAGCCCTGTCGGAGAGTACAGCAATTTTTTCATAACACAGTGCTAACTGGTAGAAGTGACAGTTTGTTTTTCACTACTGTGTTTGCAGGCTACAATGTAGAAATTAGGGGGATGTTGAATAGTGGGTCTATGGCCACTTCCCTGCATGTGGATCTTGTACCTCAGCTGAGGGAAGCAGGGGTGGGGAATGGTGATCTGATATCCTCTATAGACATTGTCTTGATTGGATGTGGTGGGAAACAGACAGAACCAGTTGGTATTTGTGAAATGCAACTCAAAATATTTGACTCTGACTATCTTGTCCCAGTTTTGATTGTTGATGGACAGGTAGATTAACTGATTGTGGACACTTATCTCCTTAAGACAATCATAAAGAGGTTTAAGTCCTATAAAGCCCTATTGGCATGTTTTGGGCAAACCTGATTCATTTCAGCAATATGAAAATGAGTGTTAAATTCTACACTTCTTCCCAGTTTATATAATCCTCACAGATTGAGTTAAAATTACACTTTGAAAAGTATTAATATTTTAACTCTTTAATAGTGTTAAATATTTGACACCCTTGGTGTTGTTTTATGACACCACATAAGTGCACTTTTAACTCCAAATTGTGTTATTCCCTTTCACTATGCAAATTTTTTAACATACATCGTGTTATTTTATGACACATTAAAGTCTATTTTTAACACTAAAATTAATAATCAACATTCATTGTTTTGTTTTACAATACATTAAAAGTGCATTCTGTGTTTACTAGCCTAACATACAAGTCACCAAATCTGAAAATGATTGTAGTCATGGCTACAGAAAGTTAAAATACACAACTAACTTTCTCTACAGTTACATCATAAGTTCAAAAGTGTTGACCAGCAACAGTGATCAAGTAATAAAAATCATTCAAACATTCTTTTGTTTTTTTAAATTCAAAAAATAAATACCATAGCAGTAAGCACAATAATAAGATCAGGCACAACTTAAACATTTACAAAGTATAATGGCACAATATATTGGCTCTCATCTCCACCATAAGCACTTTGTAAGTCGAAGGGCTTATAAATCACAAGACTATCTGCTTTATCAACATCTGTGTCATTACTTTAAAATACTTTGTAAGCATGAAAATGTTCATTGACATGGTCAACCACAAGCTTGTTTACAAGGAAGCAGATAACATGGTCAACAACAATTATTTTTTCTATTCTGCAAAACACAGGCATTTCATGTTCAATCTCACTGCAAATTATTAGTCCTGCCCTGTACTCTGTCCCACTGATCGTAACCCAGTTAGTTTTGTGATACAGACTCAACATGCATGCTCGAGCCAACAGTCGCCATAGTCCGCATTGTCCACATTAATAGATTTCATTGGGCCATACTCAATACATTTTGAATGTAATGTCTCCCAATGACATGTAATAGATATTTGATGTTTTTTTGCAAGAGATTTTGTGATGTTTTTGAAGTTTTTAAGAGTATTTTGGAAAATCCTGTGTTTTGCCTCAAATCTCATGCTCCACATATGTATTAGTTGTCCAATTTTTCGGATACAAGATGGATAGTGTATCATAAAGTGATGTTTCGGGATCAGGCTTCTATCGGGATACAGCTCTTTGAACAACTCATGATGTTCCATTATCGAATACTTAAGAAGTCATGCCAAGTGTAACAGATGGAGAAAATATAATGTTGATTATCTGCAGTAAAAGCAGCAGCAAAAAACTGTTTTGGTTTCCTTCTGGCACAATGTCACCAAAAAGCAGAGGAATGTTTCTTACAAGACAAAGAGTGAATGGAATTGAGCCCTATATTATTGCCACTACTGTCCAAGTTAATCCTTGTAGGTCGATTTTTATGCTCCACATACCCATAGTCAAAGGCATAAATTCTAGACAACACATCAGGTTTCGACAAAACATTTTCTGAGAGATATTCCAACAGTAACTTCAACTCATACTGAGCCACACCTTCAAGAATATCATGCATAATGTCCAAAGAAAAATTATGACAAACACGAAAGAACTGTAGGCTGTTAAGAGTCGAGTTCTTTTTTAAACAAAACATGGATAACTTCTGTGGGTCTGACTGCAATTCATTGCAGTGCATTTCAAAAAGTTCCTTTCCACGCAAGATTATCTTGGGGTCATCCTCATTGTAAACATTCTGGGCATCATGTTTTTCTATCAAACAAACGATAAACATAACGTCCACTGAAAGATTCTGTAAATCCCAGAATTGCGTGCATCCCTAAGTTGTTCCCAGTTATCTGACATATAGTGTCTCAAAGTCATCATAAAGAACAACTGAATTTGTAAAGAATTCTGGTATTTAGAGAACAATGGATGTGTCTTAGAATAACTTCCATCACAAAAGTCTTTGTATCTGTCAGGTCTTGATATACAAGTTTCCCCAAGCAGTTTACAAATATCAGCATTTTGGCACATGAATTTTACTGTTTCCAAAATTGGTATGTAAACAAATGTATCGTTCAATGGGACTTGATCATAATGACCTGTTTGTTTATTTCGCCTTGTATCAAAAACTCAACACCCCACTGTTAAAATCTCAGAGGTGAGGAGAGAGCATGATTCTGACGATGAAGTTTTACAAAGCAACTATATGCACCACAGGACAGTTCACTAGTCCATTGTACAGTTTGTATTAGTAGTACTAGTGGGCTGAATGCACATTTTTTTCTCTAATTTATTGTAGTTTTATCTATTTTTCTAATACTTGAAGTATTGTTTTTTAGTTTTCTATCAAAATATTCTTGTGTGAAACGTTTTTCTCTAACTAGTGGAAATTTTGCACTAAAAGCTTTTGCATGGAACTTCATTGTAGCCTGCTTTGTTTTTTATTGTGTATTTATAAGTTTTTAGGTGTTGCATGAATAACATTGTCAAATAACTTTGACCTGATTCATTGTCCTCAAAACACTCAGACTCTGGGTTCTGCATGACACTTGTTCCAGCAACTTCTGAAGTATCTTGGAGCATGTGGAAATTGGTTTGAAATGACTCTGGCCTTGCTGTATCTCCACTTTGACAAGAATCCTTCTCATGAGAACTAATTCAATGTTTTTTGAAACCTGAATATGTTGAAAACTGACGCCTACAATGATCTTGTGCACAAACTAAGTTAAACCTGGTGCTAGGATAAAAACTGTGATCAAGTCTTAGATGAGAGATCAAGGACTGGCAGGGAACATGCACAGCTTGACAAATGAAACACTTAAGTACTTTAGTTGAAGACTTTAGCACGGAACTCACAAACTCTGGGAGACTCATTTGTTGTTCCCACATCGATATTGTATACCGTTGTTTGCACAGTTCATCAAATGCACCCAATGAGCTAGTGGCTTGGCAGGGGATGAGCTAATTGTCCACAACAATGTAGAAAGTGTCAATCCTGTTCCTGGTTCGACCAACAGCAAGGATATATGGTTGTCTACCATCTCTTCTTGGAAGGTGTTCATCCAAGCTGCAGCATGACTGAAAACAGAAAGATAACACCTTATACTGTCAAGTTTTCAACTGCTCACTTGGGTCTGTATACCAGAAAAGTTGAGTTGTTAAACAAGCCATGATAAAAAAAATCTTATTGGATAAAAAAAGACATGCATACCTTGCGAAAGTGCAACATTTTGTCCACTGCATCACTGGGGCTTGTCTTGGTCCTCTTCCGTCCAGTTGTGAGTGGCAGGAGATGGAGGAGCAGCAGCAGAGAAGCCATGTCACTGTCCCAGGCTATCAGGAGGAAAATGAGGTGAAACAAGCCATTAGTATCAAGTTAGAATGCACAAAATAACCAGCACTTGCTGTTAGGAATAAAAATCAATCATGTTGATAAGCTTACTGGTGTCATCGTTTTCTATCAGTTTCTCAGCAGCTTTTAGAAGTCGGCACAGCTCAATTGACTGAGTCAGGTGTTTGGCCTCATTGATAACCTTGGGCCCGAAGGTTTTGACCCACTTCTCAAGCATCTTGGAGGCTGTTTCAGCTCCAAACAGCAGAAAGAAGTCGTGATTTGGATGTTGATCATATGAGCATATAAATACACAAAATTCTAAAAGGTCAGAGTATTGTACATTCAAGCAACAAAATAATGAAGTGTAAATAAATGATATGGACAACTCACCAGCCCTTTGACATCTAAAAACCGTGGAAATGTTTTAAAGACATCTGCGGGTCATGCACTAGGTCTTGGCGATATTGAAAGGTCATCTTCTGAAACACACTTGCTTCATCCTGAGAGTGAATGAGAAATTATATGGCTTCCCTGCAGGCATCTCCATCAAGCTGCTCAGGCAAAGTGGCTGTCCTTGTGCTTGAGCCAGTGTAGCCGTCTTGGCTGGTGTTTTTGCTGAATTCCTGGACATAGTCTTAAGGCGCCATGCTAAATATCTTTTTTCCGCATCACAGAAGTGCTCCTGTTAAGATATTTATAAAACATCATTACAAAAGTCTTATCATTAATTGATTTTACAAAAAATGTGGTAACAGTATTAATAAAAGGATTATCGCTTTAAAGTAGGTTTGCCATTTTCTAATTCATGTGTAGTACCCTATTGACTGAATTCATTCCGATTGCAAGACAGAGCATTTTCACTCATTTGATGTCATTTTGCAACCTACGGACAATATTTAAGGCAGGGTTGAAATTTGTAAATATTCAAGTTTCAACTATTGTGTTAGACGTAGATGGTGTCCATTATTTTTTACAAATACAAGAATGTAGGTATGTAAACACTATTTTGATAAGTATCTGTGATGCAGCAATCATTTTACCTAAAATCCCAAAACCACTGTCAGGAAAACTGGTGTGTTTTCTGGAAGTAATCATTTTTTAAACTTAGATTGTCAGGTTGATGGGGGGAATGCGGTAGAATAAGCGGAACAGGTGGACCAAAACGCAGAAACTAAATACTGTGTAAGAAAAAGTGTCCTTTATTTAAAAGGTAAACGTAACAAAAAGAATCTTCAAAACACACAAGTTGAACTCAGGGGAGTGACACAGGGAAAGACATGAACAACTTACAAGGAACGTGGCAAGAGGTAACGAGACACATGAACATGATGAGGGTACAAGATGAGAAAACCGACAATAAACAGCAACGAACCAACAACCACGTGGGGGGAACACCAAGACTTAAATACACACTTGAACTAATGAGTAAGTGGGGACAGGTGGCACAAGACAAACAGGTGAGCATGATGAGGGCAGGAAGTCAAATGGGGAAAACACACCAGGAGCAGGGACTACAAAATAAAACAGGAAGCAGAGGAACACTGAACAAACTTAAAACATGAATTCAAAATGTAACAAAAACACTGTTGAAACATGAACTGAAAACACTCCTCATAAAAGAGGACAAAAATACAATAACCATGACAGGGATGAACACAGGAGAAACACAGGGTGGAACGCCGAGGAACGCAGAAGGAAACACGAGAGGAAAACAGGGTGAAACAAAGAAAGAGAAACACAGATGAACACAGGAGAAGCACATCAGCTAATACTGCATAAAACCCCAATAGATGTTATCTGATGATACTGCTCATATAAACAGGTAAAGACCATATTCTTAAAATACAAAAACATACAATTGAAAAATGCCCCACTTTCTATGTTAATTTAATGCAATGTATTTTGAAAATTCATTATAATCTTTCTTAATATAATGTTTACGATCTAACAATTCACTTAACACTCACCCATGGCTCTCAGTCATATGGCTAGCCAATATGTCGACAAGCTTTCTCTGGGTGCGGCGAGTGAGTGACCTTTCTGCCTCGTACTCTTCGATGACATCCTCGCCCCCAGGTTTGCAAAGCAAGGCATTTTTTACCATCTATTCGTGTAAGAGAAAATAAAGTTTTCAGTGTATAAATCAGTCTTTCAGGATAAAATCATTTTAACAATATACCACAAGACTAAGAGTAAAAGTTAAAATCACTGGTTCAGGAGGGTTTCTCACACATAAAAATGGATGAGCAATTTCAACAAAAAAAATCTAACCAATTGTTTAACTGATTATGCAAGTGTGATATGATTTGTGATGAAACAATGTTGTTTCTTATCTACCTTAGATTACTAAGTACAGAGCTATTAGCCAAACCCAATCATTCTAAATGTCACAAATACTCTGATGAGAAACTCATTGGCCTGGGTATGACTTCATATTTCAACCATGCAAATCTCAAAACAGTGTTTCCTCAGTTACACCAACACATTGACTTTGCAACACGGGGACACAACACACTGGACCAGGTGTACACAACACTGAGAGGAGCATACAAGGCCTCAACCCTCCCCCATCTCGGCGCTTCAGGCCACATCACTGTCATGCTAATGCCAGCATACAGGCCGAAGGTCAAAGTCACCAGACCGGTCCAGAAGCAGGTACAGGCTAGAGGGTGCCTCCTCAGCACTCCAGGACTGCTTTAACACCACAGACTGGGACATGTTTAAGCAGGCAGCCACCTACAACCACCAGATCAACATCCAGGAGTATTCAGACACTGTTACAGCCTACATCAGCAAATGCATTGATGATGTCACGGACACCAAGACCATCACAGTACGGGCCAACCAGAAACCATGGCTTACGGGGGAAGTCCATCAGTTACTGAGAGCCCAGAATGCTGCTTTCAGAGCAGGTGATGAGGCTGGCCTGAGATCAGCAAGAGCCAACCTGTCCTGTGGCATCAGACTAGCAAAGAGGTAGTACAGCAGCAGGATAACCCACCACTTCAGCGACAGCAGATACACAAGGAGCCTGTGGCAGGGGATACAGACCATCACGGACTATAAACCTCGACCACAGACCTGTGACAATGACACCACTCTGCTGAATAGTCTGAACAACTGCTTTGGACAGTTTGGAGCTGACAACAGCACCCCTGCACAGAAGACAACACTCCCTCCAGATGACCAGGTGTTGTCCCTGTCTCCAGCCAGCGTGAGGAGGTCCCTCTCCAGGATCAATGCTCGCAAAGCTGCAGGACCTGACAGCATTCCTGGTCGTGCGCTTAAGAACTGTGCATTGGAGCTCACAGATGTACTCACAGACATCTTCAACACATCCCTGAGCCAAGCTGTTGTCCCCACATGCTTCAAGAGCACCACCATCGTCCCTGTTCCAAAGAAGGCATCTCCATTGTGCCTCAACGACTACCGCCCTGTGGCACTGACCCCCATCATTATGAAGTGCTTCGAGTGGTTAGTCATGCAGAACATCAAATCCATCCTCCATCCCTCCCTGGACCCCTAACAGTTTGCATATCGGGCCAACCGGTCCAACGATGATGCAATCTCCACTGTCCTCCACTCAGTTCTTACTCACCTGGACACTAAGGACTCTTACGTGAGGATGCTGTTCTTAGACTTTGCTTCAGCTTTCAACACTATCAGCCCCCAGCAGCTGATACAGAAACTGGACTTTCTAGGACTGAACACCTCACTCTGCAACTGGTTGCTGGACTTCCTGACCGGAAGACCACAGGCAGTCCGGGTCGGCAGCAACGCATCCAGCACCATCACAATGAACACAGGGGCCCCCCAAGGATGCGTGCTCAGCCCCTTACTCTTCACCCTGCTGACCCACGACTGTACACCAACACACAACAGCAACCTCTTCATCAAGTTTGCGGACGACACTACTGTGGTGGAACTCATCAACAACAACGATGAGTCAAACTACAGGGACGAGGTGAGCCAACTGGCCGCATGGTGCAGAGGCAACAATCTCTCTCTTAATGTGGAGAAGACGAGGGAGATTGTTGTCGACTTCCAGAGAGCCTCCACCCAGCACCCTCCACTGACCATCAACAGTGCTGCTGTGGAGAGAGTGAGCAGCACCAAGTTCCTGGGTGTGCACATCATTGAAGACCTCTTCCTCTTCTTCAGCCTCCTGCATTCCGGGTGGAGAATGAGGAGCCTCCGGGCGGGAACCAGCAGACTGAGAGACAGCTTCAGCCACCAAGCCATCAGGATGCTGAACTCCCTCCCAGCTGCCCCCCCCCCCTTTCCTTCTCTGCCCTCTGCCCCCACAAACACTGGACACCCGCCCCCCACCACGCACAAACCAATTGCACTGTGTACAGTCAACTGCTGTACACCAACTGTTTACAACACTGTTTGCACTGTAATAGTCTTAATCCTGTTTTTATCTGCCATATTTATATTTATAATGTAATTCCATTAATACTGCCATATTGCCATATTTATATTCCACTGATGATTCTGTTTATATTTATACCGTTCATTCTGTTCATCCCACCATATCTGCCATATTTATACTCTTTATATCGTCTAGATTTGCCACTGCCTGTTTATATCTTTTAATTACTTGTATTTTTTATATTTTATATTAAATGTTTAATGCTGTTTGCACCGGGGATTAGAGGGAAACGCTTTTTCAATTCTCTGTATGTCCTGCACATATGGCATTATTGATAATAAAGTTGACTTGACTTGATTTTGGTGAAAGGGAACTAATGGCAGACATTTAATGTAGAATAATTCTCATGATCTTTTCACTAGTTCGTTTCATCTAAATTATATAAATTGTAGTTTTCTTTACCCCAGAAAAGGCCCTTTATATTTAAATACTTTATATTTACATCAAGGGGACCCTCTCTACGGAGGCCGCCATGTTTTTGACATTAAACCAGACTGGACAAACTAAACACCTTTTAAGTTTTTATGACAACTGAAGCTACCACAGTTTCTTTTTCATGTTTGGAAGGAGAGGGTGAGGTGAGAGGTGTTCAGCTGCAACATGCAGGGGGTGGGGGTGGGGGGAATACACACGCACACATTTTCTCAGGCTCCTGGTGTTTCACATGATGGCCTGATACTTCTGTCTGGATCGCTCAGTTGACCAATCCTGCTGGAGACTGAGGTGAGGACCGCCTCTACTCATTTACATATGGACACAGAAATATGGAAATAAATAAATGTGGAAATAAATATAAGTTATTTATTTCTTTATTTATTTCAGCTTTGATTTATTTATTCTTTTATATATATATTAATTTATTTAAACTTAGGTCATTTTTCGTCCTGCACATTACTGTCTGCCAGGGTGCATTAAATATCTGCTGCTGATATTTTTGTCCGCCTGGACTGGCAGCGTCCTGCTGCGCATGCTCCAACGGCGAGTTCACTTTGCCGCATTCAGGTGCTTTCATAAACTCGTAAATCCAAACCTCATAGCTCAACAATGCCATTTGTCCAGCACTCATAATTGATCATCCTAATTCTAAGATTATGGTTAGCCACAAGTCTTAGCCTAGTCTTCCATCCAATCTTTCCACATAGAATACAGGGGAATTTATATGAAATGAAAATGAAATTAGATTTTCCAGTCCCAGCACTTTCCTCATTTTGGAGAACCTGTTGTGGCTGTTCTTTTAACTGAAAAGTAGTTTTGATGTTTTTGTGTAATAAAATACATTTTCTTACATCAGTATGTTAATGCTATAATGAACAACAATATACACTGAGTACAACTTCCTACCTTAAGTAATGCAAATCTGTGCAGCCTCATACGTATTGTAATTTTTACAATACAATGCAGTGTGTCTATAATAAGCAATTCAACCAATATACCAAATTATGTCAAAATAAAAGCAAATACAAATAATATAATCATAATATACAATAAAATACAGAAATTACGATTTTCCAAATTATGAAATAGAACCTTAGCCTAGACAAGAGTTATTCCGACGTTCTACCACCGTACATGAATACAGCACTATGCATCCACACAACAGTCGATGATCCACACAGTTCCCTCTGTCCAAAGCATTAACAGTTGCTACCTGCTTGGGCGGAATTGACGTAAACACCGGTGCTACATGCTTCACCCTGAGTCCAGCCAGGCCGCAGGAGAGGCCGTGCACGACATGACAGCACCGGGATCGCGGAAGAAAGCCCGCTGGCAACCGCGGGTGACCGTGCAAGCGGAGGCGGTGAGGGCTGCGGGTCGCTACGTTGTGCTGACAGCCCTGTGTGTCCTGTGCTACTGCAACACACTCCGCGGGGAGTTAGTGCACGACGATGTGTGGGCTATCGTCAACAACCCGGACGTCCGACCGGGCTCGAGCCTAAGAAACATCTTCAGCAACGACTTCTGGGGCAAAATGATGGCGGACAATACGAGCCACAAGTCCTACAGACCGCTGTGCATCCTCTCCTTCAAGTAAGTTATCCCTGCACACTCAGCTCTGCTCTTTTCGTCTCATGTTGAACCTCCAAAGATGGTAATGTAACCGTACTGTTAATTGTATTTAAAAGAGGGGAGTGAAACACTTACTAACCACCGTATGAATGCTTTGTAAACATGCAGTTGATGCTGACGTCATACAGCTTTTGCAGCCTCACACCCAATTTAAAACTGATTCAAGCTAAGCATTCTTTAACATCACACCTGATTGGATCAATCAGTGTTACCACATTAGACAGAAACAACCACACATTTGGCACATTTATATCTGCACTGCAGAAATGCCCAGTCAAATTTAAGGCCAAACAGTCGACTAAGCATATTTTTACTCAAATCACATTTGGCTGCCAGTGCAGTCAGATAAGTTCACGTGTTAAAGGGATAGTTCACCCAAAAATGAAAAGTCACTCATTATTATCATGATGATCTACTAGTTCTGCCTTTCAGTGCTGACTGTTGTCCAGTAGCGTTGCTGTTTGCAGTGTTTTGCCAGTTCACAGTTAAAAAGAACTAGTTCAAAGTTCAGTTCATGCAGATGAAAATAAACTAGTTCACGTTCATTAGTTCCATTTTTTATTGGGATGATTTAGATGACAAAACTTACAATTATGTGTTTAGTTATTAATCAGATCATAAATCCATGTCACTCCGGTCACTTTAACACTGAGTCCTGCTGTTCTTGTCACGTCTCATGTTGTACAACATGTTGACAAGTCATTTTTCATGATGTTTAAATGCAATCTCATAAACTCTGGACCAGAGAGAAACTTGTTTTTTTCAGTGTTTCCACTGGTGTTCAACAAAGTCACATACCAGCTGCTCCTCTGATCTCACTGTGTGTGTCCCTCTGAGGAAGTGAGTGGGGGCGGGGCCATGGGCCATGTGTTTATGTGTGCTCCCAGGCAGCACACACACACACACATTTCCGCCTGCTATTTCACATGATGGCCTGATACGATGATGATTTAAAAAAATCTAAAGTCTACCAGAGTGATATGGGAGATTTTCAAGATTGGACGATGATATATTCAGAGGCAGCAGGCAGGACAAACTATCTTGACAATTTGTATAATTTTATACATTTAAAAAATAATAAAGACGATTATAAAATAATGAACAAATTTATCACTATCATCTTTTTTTCTTTTGGAGGGCGGCGCCCTATCGCCCCCTTTTGGCCAGACGACCCTGCCCGTGGATGACGCCACAGGAGCAGTATGGAGGAATTTTGTGTTTTTTTCCTGTTGGTTTTTTACGTTTTGTTTTGTGTGAAAGCTTCTTTATATCTAGATAGTGCAGCCATGAATTTGACAGGGCACCATTGCAGTGTGGGGAATGATAGAGCTGGGGTGATGCAGGATGCCATCGTCCATCAACAATGGCTGATGTCATTGTGATGAATATCAGGCCCTCCCCATTAAATACTGACAGAGGGATGCAGTCTGCTACGTGCATGCAGATTATGATTTCATGGTCTACTATAACAGAAAAATATATATATTACTTGTTTGCTGGGATTTCGTCAGAGATCAGCTTGAGATGTAGAGCTGATGAATATGTAGGCTATGCTACTTAAAGTAGTGTCAGCCTGACATCCGGGCCACACTGGCTGCGGAACGTCTTGCTTTTTATTTTGGTGCTCATGTTAACAGATTCGAGCGGCCACGATGCCTGGGGTTCAGCTGCGCTTCAGCTGAGGTTCCACTGCTGTCGAGAGATTCGTAGTCTCGTCGATCTTTGTGTATTCTGCTCACAGTTCATAACAGAGTAGATGCCCTACCCTAAAACTATGTAATCACCACATCAAGTTAAGAAAGGTTGAAGGATTCGGAATTCTTGGCTATGTAGAGTTTGGCAAAATTCAAACTTCAAACACACTACTAAACAGTCAACATGTATGTATGTTCAAGCAAAACATTTATTCTGATAATAATTATTATAGAAAATTATAAAAGTAAAAATATGGAAACTAATAAACCATGTACTCACTATATAGAGATATGTGCATGGGTGTCTGTGTGTATTTGTGTGTCAAAATGGCTGCTGTGGGAATTTTAGAGAAAAGATTAGAAAGTTTACTACCTGAAATTATAAATGGAGTTTAAAATGTATTAATTTTCGGTGGAATGGGTATACTCTTTGAAGTACTCGGCAGGTTTGGATGTGGGGGAAAAATTTGCAATTGGGTGAAACTATAGAGAGCCATATGCAGAAATAGTTACTAATAATAATCTGTCTAATCCAATTCAGATCAGTAGGGGGTGTAGACAGGTTTGCCCATTATCACCTTTGTTATATACGGTTGCAATCAAGCCTTTTGTGATTGCAATAAGACATCACTTACTGATTTCAGGTATATATAAAGGGATATACATGGTATTATTGGGCTTCTTCTTAGAAACCTAGGAACACAACTAATCCTATAGTAAAGAACACAATTGTGGTATGGTATGTACACAAATATTTTAATTAAATATCTGCTCTTTCCAGGTTTAGTCCAATTTGGGGTAATAATTGTTTTGTATCGGGTAGAGCTGATGATGTCTTTAAATTATGGGCTAATAGAGGAATAAAAACAAATGAATCCAGAACATAATAATATTATATCATTTGAGGACTTGGTTACCATGTATAATATCCCCTCTAAACATTTTTACAGCTGATGAGTTTTATTGAATCTCATCAGAATCATTCCATAACAATCCCAGCCTTATCCTCACTGGAGGAAAATCTAATTGAATATCCCTTTGGGAAAATAATTATCGAAGGAATTCATGAGCTGTTGAGTGACAGCTCTCTTGAATCCACAGACTCTAAACTTAAAGCATGGGAGGGAGATCTAAGAGGAAATTCAAAAAGAAGAATGTCATGTTGCATGTAAGAATGCTCAATCTCAAACTGTTAATACACTATTAAAATTACTACAGTACAATTGGTTAATGAGAATATATGTTACACCCGAGAAAGTAAATAAATTTAACCCCAATATTCCAGATTTAAGCAACGGATGTTGGGAAGACAAGGGAGCATTTATCCATCGTATATAGAAATGTCCAAGAATAAGAGAACTCTGTTGGAAGTTGGAATGGTAGTACAGGAAACTTTATCAATCCAAATAATTATAGAACCTATACTTTTTTTTCCTGGCATATATTCAAGAAACATAATATAAGTCATGTAGAACCGATTTCTGTTAACATGTGCTTATCACAAGCCAAAAGATTTATTGCATTAACATGGAAAAGCAATGGGAGACCAAGTATTAGACATTGGTTCAAAGAAATGTCTTTATGTCTACCTATGGAAAAGATTACCTCTACACTCAGAGACACAAAGGAGACGTTTCAAAGAATATGGAATCCATTCATACATTTTATAAGGGACAAAGATTTATCTTTTATGCTTAGTGAACTTGGGGAGGGATAATGATAACCTCTGCATTTAAGGTCATGTAATACACACATGAAGCACATCACCCCCACCCTCATCTAACTTCACTGGCTTCTTTTGAAGTCCCGCACCCATTACAAAATCCTCCTCCTCACCTACAAATCCCTCCATGGTCTTGCCCCCCAGTACCTGTCTGACCTCCTCTGCCTTTATTACCCATCCCGGAACCTGTAGAAGACTTGGTTCTGCTCTACACCCCACACACCAGCCTGCGAACTTTTGACGACAGAGCATTCAGCGTGGCAGCCCCCACCCTCTGGTATTCTCTCCCATCTCACATCCGCAATGCCCCATCTCTGGACACCTACAGAAAACTCATGAAAACCCCCTTGTTCACCACAGCTTATGGACTCTAGCCTCAGCCAATCATCACTATTATTATCTTCTTTTTGTTTCTTTTTATTTTTTTGTGTGTTTTTCTCTCTGTAAAGCACCGTGGGTACCCTGAAAGGCACTGTACAAACCTGAGTTATTATCATTATTATTATTATACACTTGCTCCTGTCGGATGAGGAACAGAAAATGCTCTTACTATAATGTAACCACCCTTTTTGTTTTTTTAATTTGTTTATTTATTTATTGCAATTATTATTTTTACTTTGTGTGTATATATACATATGCCATGTGAGAACAGAGCAGGAGAGCGAGCAAGTGGGTGGGTTGATCAAGCTTCTAACATGTGGCAGACGCAAAAATGAAAAAAACTAAAAGATGCTGTGTCATACACATAGAAGACACAGACAAAGATGTTGGTGGTGATAAGAGGCAACACCGGTGTCGGGTCATGTGGCTGAGATCACATGTGTTAATTTCGGGGAAGGTGTGTGTGTGAGGTGCTGGCACCAGGTTTAAGAGAGTGGTTAGTGGCATGCAAATAAATACCTTTGTGTGTTGTCTTCAGAATCTTGGTCTGGCTTAATCCTGACCATGCACTCGCTTCAGTGCTGTTTGGAGAAAAGATTTTAGAGAAGAGAGAGAGCAGATGGGGACCTGTCCTTTTATATAACAGAGTTCTTTGTCCTATTTTCTAATGGAATTTTCATAGACACTGTCTCTTGTCCTCTCTGGGGCAGAGTGCAACAGGCTGTTGTGTTTGGGAAGTGCGAGAGCTTGGCGAAGGTCAAAGCCTTCGCTCCCTAGACATCACAGATATGAGACTACGTAAGCAGCACTACTGTCTCCATAACTAGAAAATACATTCGATTGTTTAGGAACAAGCACACCCATAGATTAAATAATCTGTTGGAGTTTAAAGTGTGACTGCAGGAAAGTGGATTTCAGAATATGAGAGAGCATCATGCACAGATATTGTATGGATGAATTCTGATTTTCTCCTTGGCCAAGCTTCAATAAATATTTCAGCATAAGACGTCAAAGGGCTCCTGAACGCTTTCTTCATTGATGAGTTGACCATTGATCAGCAGATTTTCCACAACAGTCGGTAGCTGTCTCACCCAACCATTTTGACAAAGGTATCAGATTTTTTTAATTTCACCATATATATGACACAGACATTCATCATCAAC